TGTTGAAGGATGGTAACGAACCCATCGATGTCATCTTTAGAAACCTTTTGTTGAATGGCAGTACCTGACATTATTGTTACTTATTAATTGTTGTATCCTGAATTGTATGTATTGTAGTTACTCACTATACCTAAACCTATAGGCAAGAAGGTCATCTTCTATTCTATTTATACTCTACAATACACGGTTCTAGGATCTCCGTGTATACTCTACATTGCATGGATCTCTAATCTCCATGCATCTGCATGGCATACATAAGTTTCATAATTGTAATTCCTTGAATGTTAACACATGTGAATAATGTGATCATCAATATCGGCAGTTATCACACGTGTTTCTCTAACCGCGAGCGATTATGCGGTATGATATCACCAGACAATGCCTTGTCTTTTGTAGTATTATTACTCACATCGGCGACTGCAGCATCACATCTTTGGCTTGCTTTCTTTCCAATATTTCCATTATGATTTCCCCAAAATTGGGCTAGTAATATGATATGAGCAACAGTATGTCTACTCTGAAGAAGCGTGCCTTGTGGTTTAGCTGTGCAGCCTTTCTGTCCCCGCGAATCTTTTCGGGAGTCTTCGAATTGGCTTTGGTAACAATCCCTGCATTTATTCCTTGTTTGATTTTTCAGTACAACTCGTGTGCATCCACAGCTCTCTGTAGTGGTTTTGAAGCGGCCCAAATTTAAATTCTCGTTTCTTTTCCTCAAGACCTCTCCGCTTGGCGGTCCAGCATCTTTGGTCCTTCACAATATGTATCAGCAGCAAGGTCGGAATGTTGCTTACATCGATCTCAACATCTACCTTGCATTTAGAAGTTGAAGCACCATATAGTCCTGCTGGGTTGCGTCCTCTGTGGTAACTATATCTCCCTTCAATAGGCAACGACCGAAGATCATAATTGTAGCCCGAACTTAGTAAGCAAAATACAGCTCACCTTCCATTCTGTAGTGGAACCGTGAAGATGATTAGAATTGGGAAGTTTGAGATGGTGCTTAGACTCAATTCACAGCACCTGATACACTTTGATTCCCATTTGCCTCAATTGAGATTTCTAAGCCTTCCTTCATAAGGGTAGGCGATGCTGGTTGTTCCTGCAACAATATCGTGTCACGCCTTTCAATCCAACATAATGCGTTAATCATTGTCCTCTTGCAACCCTACTCTCTCTTTCTCTCTCTCGCTCTCTCTCAATAATGTTCCCAGGTTATTTGTATCTGGGTAGGCAGTGTATACCTTCTTCAGTAATTGAGCATGAGCTTGCAGGAATGGAGAAGTCATAACAATTGGATCACATCTCCTAGGGTCAGCATTTGGCTACCATAGGACAGACTTGACTGGCACTATCTGGGATTACCTCAAAAGTAAGTGGTCCTAAAGGTCTCCTAGCTTCACCATCTCTCCATGTAAACAAATTGGTGTTGGATATACACTTTGTTTTTCCAAACCTTGTAAGTCGATTAACATATTGATTGAAGTGTAAGCCAGTTTGCGGTGCTCGTCTAATTCGAGTCAGTTGGTCACTCGTACAGCTCCATTCAATACTCCAAGCTCAAACATAACCTTCCCACAATCATCCACTCCACTTGGAATAAACTCCTACTGGAAATGCCTTTACTCTAACATGTATGGTGTTTTATTAATGGTCTCCATATTTATTGGACGCCGCCTGATGTGCCAGGACATGTCAAAATTTTCTCTGCCTTTGACTCCAAAATTGGCACCTGCCCGAGCCTTCTTAGTGTAAAGCTGTAAACTGCTCTATAACCTTCGGTTGCAAGTTTTGGAGAAGTTGTTGTAGAAAGAGACGTTGGAGAGTGGAGTGAAGAGGGAGCCAATACCACTTTCGTTGTAAAATGTAGCTGACTGCATTTGCTTACTTGAGATTGCCAGTGTAGAAAGTGTTGGAGGAATATAATTAAATTGNGGGAGCCAATACCACTTTCGTTGTAGAATGTAGCTGGCTGCATTTGCTTACTTGAGATTGCCAGTGTAGAAAGTGCTGGAGGAATATAATTAAATTGGTGAAAAAACATGAACGTCTCACAATTGCAAAGTAGATTTTTGGATGCCATAACGTCTTAGGGAAGTTCGATACACGATACGATTAAAGAATACCTTTAAAATATGTACAAAAAGCGACTCATTTTTGAAAATAAATAAATAAACGAATAAGGGGTAGACATTATAGCTCTCCCCATCACACATCCAAGGGACCGAAGTATTCTAAATTGACTTCAATACCCTTTTTGCTCAAATGCTCTTTAAATACTTTCATAAATCCCCTTGGACCTAACAAATACACTTCGTCTTTGCTTCCGTCAATAAAGTCTAAATCCTCCAACGTTAATTCTCTATTGAAGGACTCAGAAATAGCGTCTGCTTTATCACCTTCTTGGTTGGAAAAGTACTCAACAACAGACAAACTTTGAGGGTACGCTTCTATTTGCTTCTTGAAATATGGACCAAAAGCACGATGAGCAACAGATCTATTGGCATATACAAGCTTAACTTTACGTCCTTGTGATAATGCCGTTTGAGAAATGGAAACTAAGGGAGTAATACCAATTCCACCAGCTATTAAGATCAACCCTTTCTCTTTGGGTTCTTCTTTATAGGTGAAGTTACCATTTGGTGGGGCAACTGCTAATACATCGTCAACTTTCAACTGTTCGTGAACAAATGTTGATATTTTCCCACCGTCTAATTTTCTAACCGAAATCCTAAACTCATTATTTTCAGGCACTTGAGAGATGGAATATTCTCTTGATTTTTCAAACTGCTCTCCAGGTAATTTCCAACGAATACAAACATACTGACCAGGTTTTGCAGGAGGAATTTGACTGCCATCTTTTGGAGTGAAATATACCGACTTCACATCGGAACACTCATCAACAATTTTGGTAACGGTGAATGGCTTAAAACCTTGCCATGGCTCTTGCTTATATTGGTTAGCTTCCAAATCAATTAAAAGAGCAGCCAAGTTTCCATAAGCAGTACTCCAAGCTTCAATGAACTCGGGTGTAGCAATATCCTTGGGCAAGATCTCCACCATAGTTTCAATAAGACAAGTTCCAACAATAGGGTAATGTTCTGCTTTTACTTGCAAACCAACATGTTTTGAAACGATTTGTTGAACAAACGCAGTTAATGGAGTTAAATCTTCAATATTTTTTGCATAATTCAACAACGCAAATGCTAAGATTCTTGGTTGACGTAATAACTTTTGGTCGGTCTCATTAAAGAAGGGTTTGACTTCGTCGTAGTTTGTCAACATCCTCTTGTAGAATTTAGCCGTCAAGGTTTCACCCGCTTGCTCTAAAATGGGCACGGTGCTGAGAATAAGTTTGATTTGTTCAGGAGTCAATTCCTGTTGTTTATAAAGTTGGGTCATGATTTGATTTTTCAGTTTAACTATGTTAGTTAGTTTTCAGTTCAAGTCTGAGAATGGGTAGTAGAAAAAGGCTGTAAATTACTCATGATGATGGGATTCTTTGGAGTATTTATGTAATAAAGCTGAAAAATAGTACGCATTGTGATGATTTCTCGTTATGCCTTTTTTGGTTTCACAAAGAGGGTTGCAATATAATTGTAACATACATTTTTTTGACCAACAGCTGCATCACAATTTCATTTATTTTGCATTTTCTACATGAACGGAGTGTTAAGTAAAGATTTTGTGTTTTGTTGAACGAGTTTTACATATTAAGGCTTGCGGAGTTTATAGGGATACCAAGAGAAATATGACAACCGATCAAAGTCACTCAAGTTTTTGTTCTTTGTTTTTTTTTTCTTTTTGAGCTTTTAACATACAGTAGTTGAACATTGAGTTTTGTTGAAAAGGGATGTTACTCAATGGCTTTAAACCACCATTTCTATACATCTGTTCTCTCTCTGACAACGGGTTTCCGTTCTCTCTAAGTAGCTTTGAACATGGCCATTGTTACCACACAAAAACGTTTCGGTGATTCCAAATGAGACCAAGAAAAAAAAAAAAAGAAATAAAAATAATCGCATGTTTTTTTTTTGAAGACAAAAGATCGAAAACTTACAAAAATCCACACACAATTTAAACGAAAGAGGATATTGTACGTGACTCGATAATCAAAACGACATTGTCCGATACAACTGGGGGGGGGGGGGGTGTATTTCCCCTTAACCAAAGCGGTGGCTATTTAGTAATGTGCATGAGTAGTTTGTAACTCGTTCACTTTCTAGAAAGTGTAATTTTAGATATATTTGGGTGACATAATGACAGCCAATCAAATGTAAACTAATTGTAATTGTTACATGGTTTAGACTTTTCTTATTTTATCCCCCAATGCTGGGAGGTTGCAGTAGATACGGTAGGCTTAAAATTAATAGTACAATATAATTCTTATAGTGTCCTCCAATCTGTAGCCAAAATATACACTGCCTATACTCTGTGTGGTTATGAAACTAGTTAATCAAAGGGTTTTAACAACAGAGATGTGGCATGTTTACACTTCGATTACTACTTCTATTTAGATCAGCCAGACACATAGATAGACCACGGGGCCCTTGTCCTTACTCCATGAAATATGTGTCTTCTATATCTAGTGATTCTCCTTTGTTATACCCGAGAGTTGTGGAATAACAACAAATTTCGCTCATTCTTTTGCAAACGTTTGTGTGTTTAAAAGGAGAACACCGGGAATTGATTTTTGCAAAGAAGAATAACCACCATATAATTCAATTCATACCCAAAGAATGCCTTGAGCAAGCACCTACATACTGCACAAGAATATAAATTCACTAATTTAAGAGAGAATGAGGAATTTCAATGACCAAGTCATCTTTTCGTAAGCCCTTTCATTTTTCTTTTTTTTTTTTGTGAAATAAAATGGATTTTCCGCATGTTAATCTCCAACCAAAAGACACATGGTTTAAAAACAAAAAAAAGGAACATCACCACAAGAATTTCGTGTATTTTCTTGGTGTATGTGCACCTGTATTGGTTCTAGAAGTTACTCTAATAAATTTTCTCAAGCGACAGTAGCAGGAAGCTGACATCAAAAGCACACATTGAAAGATAAAGCTTAAGCATCTTTTCAATTTGTTAGCTACTCCTATAGATATACAAATTAGCTCTTTAGCACTTATCTAAACAGTATGTATGACATTCACTCTACTGCTTTGGGTGTCCCATTCTGCCCTGTACTTATCTAATATTAAAATACAAGTGTCACCTTCTCGTACTTTCAACCATTTTCGGGAAAACTCATAATTACTCGGTTTTGTGTTTTTGTGGTTTTGTGTTTTTACGTAAAAATACGTAACAAATTCTCCGGGGGTATCCGTGCTGCTTTACAATACCAAACAAACAGAATTATTAAGGAAGAAACATGACTTGCTTTGAGCTAGCTGTAAATGACTTTAAATATTTAGTATAATTTACTTTGTATTGTGAGAAATATATCGAACCGTCTATTGTTTGCTGAATTCCCCGCTGTGGCAACAGAAACAACTAAATTTTTGACTCGACTACTGAAAATGTTATCATCTAATTAAGCACGCAGTTGATAAACATTATGAAAACATGATGATATAAAACAAGCAGCAATACGTGGTATCAACTATACCAAAGTCACAACATATACTCAAAACTATCAGGAAGAACCACCCCCTTTTCCCCAATCACCGTATATATACCAACTACTCGGTGCCTGATACATGAACCATCCCCATTCATAAACACATTTGATGGAAGTGAGCAGTTAGAACTGCCAAACCAGCAGTTAATTTCAAAGTATGGAGTATATATTTACTTGATTATAAACACTACAACAAACACTTTCATAATGGGACAACAATCTCAGGTTTAATTAACAGAGAGGAATAATCTATTGCAACAGTTGGGACTTCAGTGTGAAACATAGTGTTTATCCAAATAGGTTCTCACAATAAGGGTGAATACATGGATTTATTTATCTTTGTAAAGGTACAAGTCTGTTGGGAGCTAGGAAGCGGGGAAAACACTTCATTCAGTTAGCAGATCAGCCTTAACAGGTATGGGACAAGGCAAAGATGAATACTCGGTTGTACTCTATGTTTAGCAAAGCATTGTGTTGGTTAGTAACAGCAGCAGCAGCATTAGTTGATATATGTGTGGCAAAGGCGGTATTGGAAAAATGAAAGGATGCAACAACTGACCATGAGGTTAGCGGTGTTCAATGATACCTTTTACATTTGGGGATATAGTCCAATGTACACCCGGGAAGAGATAGGCTTACAAATATAAGCTGATTAGGACAACCTTACTCAGATTGGTATGGAATACCTTTCCCAGTGGCATCTCGATGAAAAAACAACTGTATTTTGTCATCAAGAGAGGGAATAAACTGCGGTTCCTGTTACAATTTAATCACTACTATGGTTCGATGAGGCAAATGAAAGAGACGGGGTTGAATTTAGGTGCAGATAGGTTTACCCAAGAATTGTCTTGACACGTGAGAGAGCCATCCTGGTGCAAACCAGAACAAACCAGTATGTGGATGGTGTTTTTCAATTTATTATTACTACTTACAGAGTATATCCCCAATACCAACCTCATGATATGGGAGCAGTGATGCCTCGTTGCAGATTACCGGCAACCAAAAAAGTATTCCTTAATACCTATCAGTCTTGCAAGGTGTCCCACTTTCTCAATTACTACCATGTTTGAGAGATTTACGCAAATGAGAGAGACCATTTTACAATGTGAGAATCAAAGAATCAAGTTCTTTTTTATTGTTGAGAAGCCTTATTTAGTGAGCCAAAATACTAAATAAAGCCCAACTGTAAAATCTGTTAGCAAAGCAAACCAAGTTTATATGTCTTTTTGATATATATATATATATATATATATATATATTCTTAATTTTATAATGTTTTTGTATGTTTTTATGTTGTTGTATCCTCTTCTTCTACCCCTCTAAACCCAGCCTCATAATCTTCAGCCATCTTCTTAATGTCTCCTTTCATGTCTACCAATTCAGATATCATACACTCCTTCTTACGATCTAACAGATCTGGGTTTCTAATATTATGCCTTGAATAGATCCTCCTTCTCCTTTTCTGAAATTTTACTAATTTTTTGTTTGCTGTATTTTTCAATTGCTCGGCAGCAACCCTTCTTCTCACATCTAACGTATCAGACATTATCCTGTTACTTAATTCATTGGAAGTGTCTTTAAAGTACTCATTTTTTTCTTCCAGGCAATATAATCTTGTTGAATTGTGGCTTTATCTATCAATTCATTTCGGTCCCCTTCGCTAGCTTTTAATGTAAGCATCAAATCCTTTAAAACATTGTATTGTAGCATCTCGTTATGCTTGATACATGATGTCAGCGACTCACTAGCATTATGAGTTATGGACAACGCATCACTAAGTGC